CTGCTCTGTAAACCTTCACTCAATTCATAATAAGAAGCTTAGAAAAAGAAAAAATTAGCAAAGATACAGAAGTGACAAATACTATCAACAAACACTTTAATTGGCATCTATAGAACATCACCCAACAACAGCAGAACACACTCTTTTTTTCTTCAAGTCCTGCATCATAAAACAAACCTCAGCACATTTAAAAGTATGGGAATCATATAGAGTATGGTCTCCAATTATAATGAAATCAAACTAGAAATTTACCAAAATACCACCAAAGTTTTCTATTATAGACACAAGCTTATATTAAAACTTATTTGAAAAAAATATAATAAAGTGGGAACAATCACACTACCCAATATTAAGGCCTAGTATCTAGCTACAGCAATCAAGACAGTTTAGTAGTTATGTAAAAATAAACCAATGAGATAGAATAGAGAACCTAGAAATAAGCCCACATTAATATACCTATTGACTCTGACAACGGTGGAGGAAAAAAACAGTTTAATGGAAGGAAACAAATGATACTGAAGCTATCTGGTTCTTATGTGGTGATGGGTATACAAACCTTCACAGGCGATAAAAGAATATAGAATTAAATACATACACACAAATTGATACAAGGAAAACTAAGTAACAAACAAAATCAGTAGATTGATTTGATATCTGTATAGTGATGATATTTTACTATAGTTTTGTGTTGTTAGGTGTTATCAAGTTGGCTCTGATATGTATCAACCCTAAGTACAGCAGAACGAAACACTGCCATCCTCAAAATCGTTCCTGTGTTGAGCCCATTGTATCAGCCACTGTGTCAATCCTCTGCTTTACCACGCATGATGTCCTTCTCCAGGAACGGGTCCCTCCTGATAACATATTTTAAAGTACATGAGTTGAAGTCTTGCCATACTCACTTCTAAGGCATTCTGGCCATACTTTCAACAAAGATTTGTTGATTCTTCTGGCAGCCCGTAGTGTATTTAATATTCTTGGTCAACACCATTCATCAAAGGCATCAATTCTTCGGTCTTCATTATTCATCGTCCAGCTTTTGTATGCATATGAAGCGATTGAGAATACCAAGGCTTTGGTCAGGAACACTTTAGTCTTCAAAGTGGTATCTTTGCTTTATAACACTTTTAAGAGATCTTTTGCAGCAGATTTGCCCAGTGCAATATATCATTTGATTTCCTGACAGCTGCTTCCATGAGCATAGATTATGGATCCAAGTAGAATGAAATCCTTTACAACTTCAGCCTTCTCTCCATTTATTGTGATATTGTTTATTGAGGTTATTGTTTATATTGAGATGTTGTAGGATTAGCACCACAAGATTGGCAGTTCAGCCCCACCAGTGGCTCCTCAGAAACACTATAAAGAGTCACTATGAGTTGAAACTTAACAACAACAATCTGTATTGAAGACTGAAGAAGTGTTTGATCTTCATCAGTAAGTGTTTCAGGTCCACTTTGCTTTCAGGGAGGAAGGTGTATCATCTGCTTATTTTGGGTTGTTAGTCTTCTTCCAATCCTGATGCAGCATTCTTTTTCATACAGTTCAGTTTCTTGGATTATTTGCTCAGCATGCAGATTGATACGTATAGTGAAAAAATGCAGCTCCAACATGCACCTTTCCTGATTTTAAGCCACACAGTATTCTCCTGTTCTCTCAGTCTCAGTACAGGTCCCACAAGGAAGAGTTCTAGAATTCCCTTTCTTAATAATGTCATCCATAATTTGATATTATCCACATAGTCAAATGCCTTTGCATAATAAGTAAAATACAAGTAAACATGTTTCTGATATTCTCTGTTTTTAGCCAAGATTCATCAGACATCAGCAGTGATAACCCCTTATTCCATGTCTTCTTCTGAATTCATCTTGAATTTCTGGCAGCTTCCTGTTGACCTACTTCTACAACCATTTTTAATCATCTACAGCAAAATTTTACTTGCATGTGATTTTAATATTGTTTAATAATTTTCACATTGTGTTGGATCACTTTTCTTTGGAAAGGGCATGAATGTGGATCTCTTTCATTGGTTGGCCAGGTAGATGTGTTCCAAATTTCTTGCAATAGACGAGTGAGGGCTTCCAGAATTGCATTCAATTGTTGAAATATCCCAACTGATATTTCATCAACTCCTGAAACCTGGTTTTTGCCAGTGCCTTCAGCGCAGCTTGAACTTCTTCATTCAATATCACTGGTTCTCAACTACATACTATCGCAACATTTTACAAATGATTGTAAACAAAAATTAACTTGCATGTGATATCACTGGTATTTTTTGATGATTTCCACACTCCATTGGCTCAACTGTCTTTGAAATGAGCATAAATATGGATCTCTTCCAATCAGTTGGCCAATTAGCTCTCTTCCAGATTTCTTTGCATATATGAGTGAGTGCTCTCAATGCTGCATCAATTTGTTGTAAGGTTTCAGTTTGTATTCTGTCACTTCCTGTAGCCTTGTTTTTTGCCAATGCCTTCAGTGTAGCTTAGTCTTTTCCCTCAGTACCAGTAGTTCTGGATCATATGCTATGTGTTGAAATGGTAGGACATCGACGATTTCTTTTTGGTACAGTGATTCTATCTATTCCTTTCCATCTTTTGATTTCTTTATGCATCATTCAATATTTTGCATATAGAATCCTTAAATATTGTAAGTTGAGTCTTGAAAACTTTTTTCAGTTCTTTCAGTTTGAGAAATGCTAAGTGTTTTCTTCCCTTTTGGTTTTCTAACTCCAAGTCTTTGCATATTTCATTATATTTGACTTTGCCATATCAATCTACGCTTTGAAACTTTTTGTTCTCCTCTTTCACCTCCTCATTTCTTCCATTCACTTTAATTTCTCTATGCTCAAGAGAAAGTTCCAGAGTCTTTTCTAACATCCATTTTGGTATTTTCCTTCTTTCCTGTATGATGTTTTTGATGTCATCCAACAACTCTTCTGGTCTTCGGTCATTAATGTCTAACACATCAAATCTGATCTTGAGATGGTCTCTATATTCAGGTGTCATATATTCAATGCAGTATTTTGTCTTTTCTGAATTTATTTTAATTTTATTCTTCTTCAGCCTGAACTTGCATATGAGAGCAATTAATGGTTTGTTCCACAGTCTGCTCCTGGCCTTGTTTTGGCTGATGATAATGAGCTTTTCCATCTGCTTTTCCCACAGATGTAGTCCATTTGATTTGTGTTTATATCATCTGGTGAGATCCACATGTATAGTCATCTTTTGTTTTGAAAAAAAGGTATTTGCAATGAATAATTAGTTATTGGTCTTACAAATTTTCATCATGCTATCTCAAACATCATTTCTATCACCAAGGCCATATTTTCCAACTACTGATCCTTCCTCTTTATTTCCAACCTTAGCATTCCAATCATCAGTAATTATCAATACATCTTGATTGCATGTTTGATCAATTTCAAACTGAAGATGTTGGTAGAATTCCTCAGTTTCATCATTATTGACTTTAGTGGTTGGTGCATAAATTTGAATAATAGTGATATTAACTTCAAGTTTGATTTTGGAGTATTTAGGTAAGGAAGACCAAAGAACAACTGATGAATTTGAATTATGGCGTTGGCAAAGAATATTGAATATAGCATGGACTGACAGAAGAACCAACAAATCTGTCTTGGAAGTAAATCCAGAATGTTCCTAAGAAGCCAGGATGGTCAGGCTTTGAGTCTCACACTTTGAACATAGTATCAGGAAGGACGAATACCTAGAGAAGGACATCATGCTTGGTAAAGCAGAGGGTCAGAGAAAAAGAAGACGACCCTCAATGGGGTGGATTGAAATAGTACTACACCAATACATTCAGACATAAAAAAGACTGAGTATGGCACAGTACTGGGCAGTGTTTTTATTCTGTTGTACATAGAGTAACTATGAGTCAGAACTCGACAGAACTTAACAGCTAAAACTTTGAAGAGGCCGCTCTTATGGTGTCATATTTTGAGTGCCTTTCAACCTGAGGGTCTCGTCTCTGGCACTATGTCAGACAGTGTTCCACTGCTATTTCAAAGACTTTCAGTGACTTATATTTCAGAAATGGAATACCTCTTTTTTTCCTCCTAATCTGGAAGCCAGTCCACCATGCTTGACACTGCTGGTTTTTGAAATACTAGTTGCATATTATCCAGCATCACAACAATATACAAGCCACCACAGTATGACCTACTGATAATGTGGGTGGTAGATAGCTTGATAAGATATTCAGACCCACCAACTGCTCCCTGGAAACCCTATACAAGGTCGCTGTGAATTGGAATTGACTTATCAGCACTTAATGACACAATTATTGGAGAAAACTGAGTCGAATATAAACAGGAATTCTGTATTACTTTGCAACTTTAGGTGAGTCTACATTTTTTTCAAAATAAAAAGTTTAGTGTAAAAATGTATTTGATTTTCTGAAGTCCTGGTGTGGTATTGTAGGATAAGCGCTGAACTTCTGACTGCAAGGTGCATGGTTCAAATCCACCAGCCACTCCTTAGAAACCCTATACAGGTAGCTATGAATTGGAACCACTCAACAGTACTTAACAATAACAACACTAAGTTTACATGGGAGGGGGCTTTCTACAAAAGACATCTTTGGACTAACAAATAATTTGGGTTTTTTCATCATTTTTTTTTTTCCTGATCTATCCACAGGACATAAAAGAGAAAATAACAGAAATGGTATTAATATCCCAGGCCCTCACTGTCACACCCTGGGTTATGTACAAGATTCTCAAATGCCTAGACATGTTTACCCCTGACTGTAGGTAGTTTCTGAAAGATAGGTGTGATGTAATGATTTCTGTAGAAATGAATATGCTGATTGCTCATTCCTCTCCCTCAAGGCAGTTAAAATTAAGTAGCATGGGTCTTACTGTTTTTTGCTTTATGGTCCTTCGGAATTCTCCAAGATTGTGATCTCTTAACAGTAGCAGTTTAAGTGAAAGAGTAACAACACACTTATAGTAAAAATCTTTCATTATTTTTCTTCTTTAGGTACAGACTCATTGGTAAGTCTACTAATACATGTATCAGCTCAGACAAGACTGTTATTTGGGAGAATCTGACACCTATTTGTGACAGTGAGTTGAAATATTCTTTTGTATTACTTTTACCGGTAGATCCAGTTTCCCCTTGGAATTACAAACATCTGAATGAAATTCCCTTGGTTTCTGTCTTCCTTCAGATAGCTGAAGACAGCTGTAATATACTCTGAAAAACCTGTGTTGTTGCAGACGACCATTTACTCAAGTTATTTCTTATCCTGGGATGTAGCTTTTCTGGATCTTAAGATTCAAATTCATAAAAGCCATCAAACCTTATTCTCACTTCAACTGACATACAGTTATGTTGGCTCTGCCATCTCTAGTACAGTTATTATTCTGCTTGGCGATCTAGTAAAGATTTTCTACAATGGTGATGTCCCTCCTTAGTGAGGCTGCAGAGGAATTAGCCCTAAGGAGCTCTGGTAGCATAGTGGTTATGAATCGGGCTGTGAACCACTAGGTCAGCAGTTCAAAACTACCAACTGCTCTGCAGAAGAGAGATGAGGCTTTCTGCTCCGTAAAGATTTACAGCCTCAGAAACCCTGTAGAGGGTCGCTATGAGTCGGAATCTACTCCACGGCACATAACAACCACTGGTAAAGGTGAAGTAGACAGCAAACCCTCATGGAAGGTATTGTGTCCTAGAAACCTAGAAAAAAAAATTGGCACATATTTTTCTCCACACCTTAAAATTTATATTTTGGAAATAAACACAGATTTTTGCAAGGAGTTCATTATGAAGTTTTAATTATAGCATTCTTTTAATAATAAAAAGTTTAAAGCCATCTAAGCGCTATGGGTCGGAACCGACTCGACGGCACTTAACAACAACAACAAAGTGTTTCGAATGATGGTTTAAAAGTAATCTACTGGGTAGATAGAACGGGCAAGTTAGACATTGGCTACCTAAAATGAGGGAGCTATAAAGGCACGAAGTGACTGGCTTGCAAGGTTTCAAGAGGGAGTTTAAGAGTGTGTGGGGGAAGAAAAAGTCCCCACTGAATAGTTTTCATCTTGTCTAGTTGGGTCTGGTTAAAAGAGATGGGGATACGATTCTTATGGTTCAATAGTGAGTAATTGTTATCATGGCTAATTGTGACTATCACAATTGTAAAGGTAGAAGTTTTGTAACAAAAATGTGGGAGAAGAGCACAAGCTGAATGTGGAACCTTATCCAGAGAATCAGGACACCAGAGATGGAGGCAGAGATGGGCACATGGAGAGGGGGAGTGGCTGAGGACACTAGAGTCATGGGAAGAGAGGAACTAAGAGAGATAGTGGCCATGAGGCAGACTTGCAGAATGTGCCCTTTGGTGGTGTAAATTATATATGCCTGAGTGGTTTTGTTTTTTTTTAAAAAAAAAAAAGCAAAAGTGAATAGAGAGAAATACTGCTAACTGATGGTACATGGAGGGGATTGTAATCATTGTGATAAAACAAGTTGTATGGTTTGTTGAATGTAAAACTGATGATCTGCCCTGTAAACTTCCACTCAATCCACAATAAAAACTTAAAGGAAAAAAAAAAGAGAGAGAAATGCATGCTGGCATATAGCTAGATCAAGGCAAAGAAGAAACTAAAAAAAAAAAAAAAAAAAAAATGCAAACTACTAGGAGGGATGAGACATAATTAAAGTGACCATCAAGAATTTCCTGTTGTTGTTGTTGTGAAGTGCCATCCAGTTGGTTCCGACCATAGCAACCCTGTAAAGGGTTTCCAAGGAGTGGCTGGTAACCTTGAACCACAGACCTTGTGTTTCAAATCGACTTTGCAGTCCAGCAGTCCAGCGCATTAACCCAAAAAAGCCAAACTAGGACTCCTAAGAAGCATAAAATGTTGTTGTTGTTGTTAAGTGGTGTCGAGTCACTTAGGACTCATAGCGACTGTATGTAAAGTTTCTGAAGAGTGGCTGGTGGGCTTGAACTGCTGACCTATGGTTAGCATTCTAGTCCTTATCCTATAGCGCCACACCAGGACTCCATGCAACATAAAATAGTCATGCAGAATTAGAAGTATATCTTTACACGGGAATGCTATTCAGCCTTATTTTTTTTTTTTAATCTGTATATTTTTATGAAAAAAATTCAGATGATAAAATGGCATTTGAGGTAAAATCTCCTGTTATTAAACTGTAGAACATCTAGACATTGACCTCAACTATTAATTCTGTAACCATATCCAAACTCTTAGGTGCTTTGGAGGGAAAGCTACGTTAACAGAATTCTTCCTCACAAAAATCTGATCTCCCATTCATTCAAGGAGTTCTGAGTCTTTTTAAATCTGAGAATTTGTTGATAAACGCTGATGGATTTTTAAATTATTTTTTTTGTAGTAATTCAAGCCAGACTTGTGTTGACCCAACCTTGATCTTTTCTGTTTATAACAATTAAACAAAACTTTAATTGACTAGTCGTCTTATTCATTGTTAGAAACATCCTAATCATTAACTGGAGTCTTGGTGCTGTAGTTTAAGCAATGGTATGTTAACCACCAGCTGTTCCGCGGGAGAAAGATGAGGCTTTCTACTCCCGTAAAGATTTACACCCTCGGAAACCCTGTACAGGGTCGTTATGGGTCGGACCCGACTCGATGGCACTTAACAACAACAACAATGTTAACCACAATTTGGCAGTTCAAATCCAACAGCTGCTTCTTGGAAACCCTATGCAGGATCATTATGTGTCAGAACCAATGCAATGGCACTTAACAACAACAACAATGTTAACCACAATTTGGCAGTTCAAATCCAACAGCTGCTTCTTGGAAACCCTATGCAGGATCATTATGTGTCAGAACCAATGCAATGGCACTTAACAACAACAACAATGTTAACCACAATTTGGCAGTTCAAATCCAACAGCTGCTTCTTGGAAACCCTATGCAGGATCATTATGTGTCAGAACCAATGCAATGGCACTTAACAACAACAATCAATCAATTAGCCAACATCAAAGAGCTCTGCAGTCCAATTATTCTGATTGTTACTTCAATTCTGTCCATTATGATATCTCTCCTAATCTCTGGTGAATAAAGTGTCCCAGTTTTCCCCTGTCACCCTGAGATCCCATCGTGCCCACTGAATTCACACATCATAAAATTCATGTTTTTGAAGCATACAAATCAGTCGTTTTTAGTAGACAGTACGGAGTCCTGGTGTGGCACTGTGGGTTAATGCATCAGACTGCAAAGCCGTTTGAACTGCAAGATCAGTGGTTCAAGCTTACCAGCTGATGACCCATAGGGTGGTTATGGGTTGGAACCAGCTTGACAGCACTTAACAATAACAATAACAAAATTCGCAAAATCGTGTAATCAGCACTGCTTTCTAGTTCATATACACATTTTTCATCCCAATCCTAATATTTTTCAGAAAGACTAGACTGTAATTTTCTTTTTCTTTTTTCTTAAATGTTTTATTGTGAATTATGTGATAGTTTACATGGGACAACATTAGTTTTACATTCATTCTATCGTATATCGTCTCATTGCAATGGTTACAGCCCCCTGCATGCAATCCTTTCCCTGTACCCCCAGGTCTTCAGCACACGGTCGCTCTCCCTCTCTGGATCTAAAGTCTCCATCTGCTCCATCGCTCCACGTCTTCATCTCTGGCTCCATTTCAGGCATCACTGCTTCTCTGGGTAGGGTCCCGCTCTCTGCTCTTATCCCTTGATGGTTCCAGGGACCTCCGCTCCTAGACTGAAAAGTTAATCACTCCCCTCCTTGTTATAAAACGTCTACCTTTACATTTCCGACCCTCACAATCAGTCCTGATAACAATTATTCACTATTGTATCACAAGAGACATCCATTGCATCAGCCCCGCCTAGTCAGATTGAATACTACTCAC